TCATACACCACTCATCAATACACCACTCATCATACACCACTCATCACACACCACTCATCATACACGCAGATTTCGTGGCAGGCACATGCAGATTTCGTGGCAGGCACAGCACTGTGAACCTCGAGGTGCAGATTTCGTGGCAGGCACAGCACTTTGTGAACCTCCATGTGCAGATTTCGTGGCAGGCGCACTTTGTGAACCTCCATGTGCAGATTTCGTGGCAGAAACAGCACTTTGTGAACCTCCATGTGCAGATTTCGTGGCAGGCGCAGCACTTTGTGAACCTCGAGGTGCAGATTTCGTGGCAGGCACAGCACTTCTTTGTGAACGTCCATGCGCAGATTTCGTGGCAGGCACAGCATCTGTGGAGCTGGAAGCTGAGAACTGGCGACTTTGTAGTACAACTTTAGTACGCGGAGTATCTGCGGAGCTGGAAGATGAGAACTGGCGACTTTGTAGCACAACTTTAGTACGCGGAGCAATCTGTGGAGCTGGAAGCTGAGAACTTGCGACTTTGTAGTACAACGTTAGTACGCTCCGTGGGGAGCTGGAAGCTGAGAACTGGCCACTTTGTAGTACAACTTTAGTACGCGGAGTATCTGTGGAGCTGGAAGCTGAGAACTGGCGTACGTGGAGCAATCTGTGGAGCTGGAAGCTGAGAACTGGTGACTTTGTAGTACAACTTTAGCGCGCGGAGCAATCTGGGGAGCTGGAAGCTGAGAACGCACTTTGTAGACTTTATGTGTTGGTGTGAACCGCATCCATATCGTTTCGCAGCCGGGGTATGTATGACAGGTTTTGCATGCAAATTCGGATTCCATTCACTCCGATGTGTGGTATGAAAGGCCTGCGCACTTTGTGAACCTCCATGTGCAGATTTCGTGGCAGGTGCAGCACTTGTGAACCTCCATGTGCAGATTTCGTGGCGGGCACAGCACTTTGTGAACCTTGAGGCATCGATCTGCGTGCGTCGCTGTGGACCGTGCGGACAGCCGGGAAATGCATTTGCCCGGCATGGAACAGTTTCACTGCTTTTGCATGGAGGAGCACACCAAATGTTGGAAGAAATGACTTTTGACTTTGAAAACACCACCCACTTCGCGTGCCCGCAGCAGCTGCACTTAACTTTCGATTGCACATGCCCAGTTGCTTCAGCACGCCGGTGTGGGCTGCTGATCTGGCCTTGGCATAGACCTAACCCAGTACGCTGTTGCGCGAGCTGCTGATCTTGCACGGACCTCGCACAGGCGGCGATGTGTTGGTGAAAAGTTCGGAGCGCATGCGTCTGACTGAGGGACACGAGGGACACGCATGGTGGAAAGAACATGGACACTCCTATAGGTCAATTTTTTCTTATAGGAAACTTCCGCCGCCGGCTTGCCCGGGAACTACTTGTATAACTATAGGCAGTTTTTATTCTTTGTGTTGTTATCGCTATTAGGTTGGAGACCATCGCTATTCGGTTAGTTTGATCCTTTGGGCTGCCATATCTTCAACCATCTGCAGGATCCGCACCTTCAGTCGGTCCAAGGATCTCGTGATGCGTTGCGCCACATCCGGAGGCATGGTCTGACGGTCGCAGGATGCAGCGGCGAGCGCAGGAGGTGGACGGTGTGTGATGATGTGTAAGTGTTTGCAGATGCTGATGGCGAACCATCTCAGACCTGTACGTGCAAGTGTCCTAGTATCCCTTCACCCTGCATGTGATGAACAGCACAACTGGTTGGTTGTTGACAAGATCATTCACCTCCAGTCGCGGAAAACCATGTATGCTCGGATGCTTCGCCATACCCCGACGGACGAGACTTGCAGGTACAGCCGCACTCCGAAGGATCAAAGTTCGAACAAAGTTTTTTGGTGCGTCCAAAATACATCAAAAGATGTCTGACCGGATGGGACTGTATCCATTCTTTTGAGTGACACAAAAAAGGAACTGCAGAACCCTGATTGGAGACCCTGTCTCTGAAGAGCCCATGTCAAAAATTTTGTCAATCCATGGAATGTTCCAAAAGTTTGATCAACCTCCATGTGTGTTTGTCATTCTTCTTTGGCAAGGCCATGAACAAGAAGCTACTAGGGGCTCCTGGCATCGCTACTAGGAGCAAGGACGCTACTAGGGGCTCCTGGCCTTACTACTAGGAACAAGAAGCTACTAGGGGCTCCTGGCATCGCCACTAGGAGCAAGGACGGTACTAGGGGCTCCTGGCCTTACTACTAGGAACAAGAAGCCATTATTAGTTTTTGGACATTGCCATCTGCTTAAACTGGCTTTTGACGGCATCCCCCATCGGCCCCACCCGGAGGTCGTCGCGACGCTGCTCGAGAACCTGGCATGAATTCGGTGGTCAGTCGTCAGTGAACCAAGCAGTTCCGGGAGACCCTGCAAACTAGCAAGCGTTTCTACTTCCCTACTACCAGAGAACTAAATTGAGGTGGGTCTTCTTGTCTTGAATCAAAGCCAAATGGGACAGTTGGAAGTCATAGTCATAGTGCTGTCATCAGCTACGGAGTGTCCAACCTATTGCTCTTCCAGAAATGGATTAAGCTCGATTTCAAGGCATGTATTGCCTTCAGTGGTCCTGAAGTTCACTTATATAAGAAAGAGGAGTGTGCACGGATTTAGACCATTCTCCAGAAAGGGCTTTTCAATAAAGGGCTTTTGGATCTGGGTTGGCCAGGCGCGAAAGAAGGATCTAGTTTCTGTTCCGGGAACACAAGCGTTGGAAACCCCTTCTTCAAGCACTGGATGACCCTCACCAATTTTTTTTTCTGGGCTCACAACGGTTTGTAGTCTCAAGCGACTCGACAGTCCAACTGGACATTCAGGCCCTCAAAGGAGATTTGATATTGAAAATGATGTCTTTCAAGGAGCTTCGCCTTTTCAATGCTCCGGCCCATACTTCATGTCAAGATGTTGTTCTCACTTCAGGTGGATGGCACTGTCCACGTTGCTTGAGGCCTACGAGTAGCCACAAAGGACCCACGTCTTTGACGCACCCTCCCGGCAGAAAACCACCCCCCCCATCACGGGGGAGGGACCCAAAACCAGGGCTACGCAGCACTGCGCAGCTGCTCTGCGCGACTCGGGTGGTTCCCACAGCTGAGACGATGTCGTTGGCGCGCAACTGCCCAGCTCTCCGCTTGGCCACCGATCCCCTTTAGGGAAAGCTTGTAAAAGCTTGTGGTGTCTACACATGGCATGAACGGGTCGCTGCCGGATTGTCCAAGCAGCTTAGAGCAGCTCCCAAAGAGATGAACTTAGCAACCAGTTGCTATTAGTTTCAGTGTGGTTGGTTGATGTTGGTTCACCTTTACTCGGGTCGGGAAAGGCAACCAATGTCTTTTGGGTTTGATACTCCTGTCACTGCCGTCCTCCCAAACTTGTAGACAAATCTGCGCAACCATCTTCAGCTGTTCAATTACCTCTGTTCTGTTCACTGTTCATCCACAATAGCCAACAATCCATGTTCAAATCAAAGCACAAAGCTTGAAGCATCAGAAATCTCCCAGAAGCTTCGGGCCAAAACAAATTCGATCGGGAACCAAGGATCTCCTGGTTCACAGATTTGTGCACTGGGGAAAATCGTCCGAATTCGACCTGTGCGGAGGCCAGAGGGATCGATGTAGTGAGAGAAACAACGTATATAGATCTTGCTTGAAGCCAATGAACCAAAGTCCCGTCCAAGCATCAGTAGATATTGCATGATGTCGCATGATTTCGCGCGATATGGTATGATAATGCATGACATTGGCATGATACGGCATGATATTGCCTCAATGGCATGGTACCGTATGATTCCCATGATATTGATATAGCATGAAATCGCACAATATTGCCAGATATGGCATGCTATTGCATGATATCGCATGATATGGTGTGACATTCCATGAGATTGCACGCTGTTCCATGAAATCACACATGATATCGCATAATTTCACTATGATATCGTGATGTTGTCCTGATGTTGCAAGATCTTGCATGAAATGATATTGCATGTCTTCATTTTTTTGTGTGGTATCACATAATGCCCCATGATATTGTACAGTATAATGCTGCGGGCCATCGGATGCTATTTTATGATATAGCATGATATCCATATCCATGGTATTGTGTGCTATCGCATGCTATTCATATCGAGTTAGATTGCATGCTATCACATGCTAGTCTGCTAGTCCGTAGCATGCATGATACGGTCTGCTATCGCATAATGTTGCAAAACATTGAATGATATCGTTTATTACTGCTATGGAGTTCTCTTCCATGATACCTCATGATTGCCGCATTTGACTGACTGTTATCGCATGCTGTTTCATGACATTGCATGATCTCGCATGTGTGTGTGTGTGTATGTGTGTGGGGATGTAATCCGTGAAATGTCACGGGGTCACATGATTTGCCTATGGCGCGCCGTGATATCGCATGATCTTGAATGATGTCGCAAGCCATTTCCATGATATGGCATGAAGTATCTTGAGATTGTATGAATACTCTCTTGATATGACATGATGGTGCAAGATCTCGCGTGTCATTGTGTGATAGTTTGCGGCATCTCATCTCACATCATTGTAGGCCTCATATTTTGTGATGAAGCATGATATTAGGTACCATGGCATGCTATTCCATGATAGCACCATGGTATCGCGAGATATTACACGATATCATGATACTGTATGGCGCAGCATGATATTGCAAATCGCAAGTTACCACAAAGTATTGCATGATACTGTGGGTCTATGTTCAATTCTGCAGACACCAGTGCGCTGCAAGCTGTTCAGGATTTTCTGTGCTGGATTGCCTGTTACAAAAGACAAATAGTGTCCAGTGGAGACAAGAACCTGGCTTTGGACAAGAACTACCGGCTAGCGATGGCCTCCAACCTACAAGCAAACTATATTAGTTCTCAGTTTCCACTTCTCACCTTTTCAAATTCCTAACCTCAACGACAGGTCGCGCCACCCCACAAGCACCCTACCCGTTGACTGAGTAAGCCTGCCCGGGCAAAGCTGTCGGCGTGTGCAGCGACGCGCGGAAATCTACTGTAGGGCTGGAGTCTTGGCAGATTTGTTTGCGCTCCTGAGCCCAGAAACTTGGTGCCAGGTCAATGCACTACTGGGGTGTAGAAACACGCTCCGCGGTATGTCAGGCTGGTGGGGGATGCTTAAGCAGCTATGACCAGTGAGTGAAAGACTCTGCCCACCAAAGACTGGCTGGCGGAGCGATCGGCCAAGACACTCAGAAACTGTGCAAGTGAAGCGCCATCAATGGTCCATTCGGGCTTGTCCTAAGTGCAGCCTCTAAGTCTAAAGACGTGGCCAGACCTTGACTTGACGAAGCTTCGACAAATGGCAGAGTAACACCTAACACTTCCAAGCTTCACCTGCACTCTCTAATTGACTGCATCAAGATGGTGGCTCCAGGTGCCAAAACTGCCTGCTCGTTCCTTCAACATCCTTCAATTCAATCACTTCCATTGCAGTTTGTTTTGAAGCTTCTAGGTTCACATTGCTACTAGGATGGAGGCCATCACTATTAGGTTGGAGGCCATTGCCATTCGATTGATGTATTAGGTTGGAGGCTTGTTTAAAGCAGTCATCTCAAGTTGAAGATCCTTCCAGGTGTGGATTCCATCGAAGCTTGATCAGTCACCGTTCTTGTCACGGTGGCCTCTAAAGCGTAATCCTCGGGATATCACGTGCGGACAGCACTGCAAAAGTCAGCTGGATGTCTGACATCTTGGCAAAGGTTTCGGTCATTCGTTTCCACGCCAACAACATGACAGAGATCAATTCATCTCTATCGTGTGATTCCGTTTTGACACCCTCCAACCTCCAGTTCCAAAAATACTGAGCCCCCCACCCATCCAAATCCTCTACCTGTTTCAACGGTAGAAAAGGGCAGGTGGTGCCGGAGGCAACAGTATCAGCAAATGCTGGGAAAATGCAAACAAAAAACATAAGGAGAACATACATCATACATCTATACATTCCATGAAGGTACCATGCATCACATCAAAATCCAGTGCCTTCGTCCACGAAAGTATGCATACATTCTGCATCGCCATGTGTGCACGACATGTATCTTTTCTGTGACATGCTGGACGGCAACATCAAAGAACTGGTCTACCCGGCGAGGGTTCCCTTGTATCTATATATAATATATATATATATATCCACTTCATCAGGACTGGTGAAAGCAACTGTATCGAGCTTAAAGGATGCTAAAGGAACGTTGAACCAATGGGTGTTTTAGGGCGGTGTCCTTCGGGACTCCTCTAATGCCACATCTCATTGTTCATTTCCAGCTCGACAAAACGTCCACCGCCACATGCAGCTGGTGCAAAACCATACAGTAAATGGCTGGTGGACCATCCCTAGTAACGCTGACAGGGATCTGACCCATGAGCCCCTCCCAGTCCTCCAAATTGTTCAAATCAGTGGAAATATCCACCCAAAGCCAGCCTTCAAAACCGACCAACAAACAAGCAAAGAAGCCAAAAAAGGAAGATACCGCCCACCGGTGTTCAAGAGCTCTGATCTCAGTGCCAAGTTCCCGAGCCGATCGCCCTCGTGTAGCTCTGGAGCCTCAGCAGCAGCGCAACAGAGGCTTTAGACTAAGCCGAAAGGCCTGTAATCAGGCCCCCCTTTACGTAAAAGGGGCCTGACTAAAGAAACCCTTCCTTTCGTTTCTTTTCTCTTAGCATCTATTAGCTGAGTTTCTCAATTCGACTGCTCCAAATGTGGACACACAAACTTTAGTGTAAGGAAGCCACAGTTTCCCAACCTACCGCCAAGTAAGTGTCCAAAGATGTCCAAAGAATCAATAGGCTGACAAGCTCCAACAAGGATAGGTTCGTTAGAGTGGTGTACCCAGTGCCTTAGATGATGCTCCACATGACCGCCACCGCTGTTCGGACGCTGGACTGGGAAGGGGCCAGTGGGCATGGTTCTATGTCTACTGCCAAAAAAGGGGTCTGTCACCATGTCGTAGTATCTTCCCATCCTACATTCTAACCATCCTCTCCATAGAGCCCCTACTTTTTGCTCAGGGTGGGGATGTCCAAACTATTGCACCTTTGGTCAAAAACGGTTGGATTTCGGTGTTGGGAAAAGGGCTTCCCCACATTGCCACACACACACACACACTTAGATTGGTGCTCGCAAGAGCTGAGTCAGTGAATGAAGTTCCACTTTAGCGATTACACTACCGATCTACAGCGCTGGAACCTGGACCTGGTAACAGCCCTGAGCATAACGGCAAGGCGAAGGAGCCGGCCTGAACAGTATGGTTTAACCAAAAAATCCTAAGTGAAGGTTGCAGGTACGTTCA